TCCATCTGAGGCATCCAATGAAGTCTCTATCACTTCTAGCATGGTTGATATTCGAGAGTGGGTTGAGCACATGGAAATTGTAGATCATAAAGCAACAAGACCCCTCTTCACTTGGGTAAATCAGTAACAAGGGAACCCTATAGCTAGGAAACTGGATAGACTAATGGTTAATGTGGTCTGGTTAGCTAGCTACTCTGAATGTGCAGTGGAATTTCTGGCTCCGGATTTCTCTGATCATTGTGGAATTCTTGTCACTCCCAGGCTTAATACTACAAGATTTTCATAGCCTTTTAAAATTTTCCAAATGTGGTTTCAGCATGCCTCATTTCCTACTATCATTAGGGATTGTTGGCAGCAAGATGTCCTTGGTACTGGTCTATTTGGGTAATGCAGAGGATTTATATCTTGAAGAGTGAACTCAGGAAACTCAACAAAGAAGCTTTCTAGAATATATTAGGAAGAGTAAAAGAAAAATATGATGAGATGAAATGAAATGTAAAAAAATTCAAGCTCTCCACGAGCCATTAAAGACTCATTTTGCTGAGGTCAAGAGGATAACTGAGGAGTATCTTCTGTTAAACAGAGCAAAAGAATTGTTTTTTTTACAGAAATCAAGGATAAGATGGTTTGCTTTAGGGCATCAAAACTCTTCATTCCTCCACATATTTGCTCAAATCTGAACAGTTAGGAAGCAAGTTAGGAAACTTGTTGCTTCTTGAGCGGAGTTTTTGACAGATGTGAAAGATATTGCTAATGAAGTTGTTAAATTCTATAAAAATTTGTTTGGCACTGTGAATGTGGAAATTTAGGTCGATGGGAATATTATTGAGAAATATTTGATGGGGAGATTGTCAATGTCTGGACAACAAAAGTTGTGTGCTAAGGCGACTGACCAGGAGGTGACTACTGCTCTCTTTAAGATGATTGCTTCAAAAGGTCTTGATCCTAATGGGTGAACAGCAGGTTTCTATCAGAAATATTGGGAGACAATTGGACCTGCTATCATTCATAGAGTACAACAATTTTTCACAAGTAAAAGACTACCAAATGGCATGAACTCTACCTCCCTGACTCTTGGCCCCAAAGTTCCTAATGCAGATCAATTGAATGCATTTCGACCTAATGCCTACATAAACGTGATTTACAAGATCATATCCAAGGTTCTTGCTAATAGGATCAAGAATGTATTGCCTTCTATTATTAGTAGAACCTATATGTCTTTGTAAAGGGTATAAGCATTCTTGAGAACATTTTGATGGCCCAATAAATTGTTCACAATTATTCAAGGTAGCATATTTCCTCTAGCTGTGCTGTGAAAGTTGAATTTAAAAATGATTTTGACTCAGTCAATTGGGACTACTTGAAGTGTATTATGATGAAAATGGATTTCCTTATAGTGTTTATGGATTGGGTCTGCTTATGCTTGTCTTTGTCTACTTCAGTATTTCTATACATGTTAGTTTATTTAGTTTTTTTCAATCTACTAAGGGTGTTAGGCAAGGGGATTCTTTGTCCCCTTACCTATTTACCATAGCCATGGAACCACTCACAGAAATGTTGAACTCTGCTACCATGAAGGGTTATATTCCATATCATCCTCATTGCAAAAATTTAGGACTTACTCACTTAAGCTTTGTTGATGACATTCTTATCTTCACAGAAGGGTCAGCTTATGCTTTGAATGGTTTGAGGAAAATATTGGATGATTTCTATAGGTTGTCTGGCCTTCAATGAAATGCTAATATGTGAAGTTTTCTTGGGGTTTTGCTCACAAGTTTAAGAACAATGCCCTGCATATCTCTAGATTTAAGGAGGGTAGTCTTCCATGTCGTTATTTGAGAAATACAGTGCATTTCCCTGTCGATTGGTGTGACATGCTGCCGATGACGACTAGAAGGGTGTGTGCATATGGTAGATGTGGTGTGATCGAAGCCTCTATATGGTGTTGGTGTCTTTGTTTACTTTGGAAAGAGCATTGCAGAAGGTTTTTTTGGAGAACTTCCTCAAGTTTCAATTGTTTTAGCTGGGTTGTTTAGAGAGGAAATTTTTCTTTTTGGCTGTAGCAATCCGGATTCGTACATCCAGCTTCAGAAAACTATAGGTTTAAGGTAACAATCTATAGGTTTAAGGTAACAATCTAATCATCATACCAAAACAACAGTGAACTATGAGCTCGGATCTCGGTGGAAGGCTGCTAATAAAACTGAACTTCAGGTAGCTTAATTATTTTCATTGTTTCTTTCCATTATCATGGATTGATGTAGTACATATTGCGTTTGTATTTTTGATCTCTTGTGTCAATTAGCGAAAAGTGAGCTTAATGGAAATTGCTAATTAGTGGGGGAAAAGGAAAGGAGAGTTTGCATGGCATGGAGTGGGTGGCCAAAATGACACTTAGTATACCTGTGATGCATGGAATTGAAAGGATTTGAGTGTGTTTTTGTGGATGCTCTGGAAGGAAAGGAATGCCCACTGGTTTAATGGAGTAAAAGCGGCGGTACATGATATCATCCCAATAAGGGCTTGCTTCCTTCTTGACGAGTATAGGCTCCGACAAACGAAGCACATGGAAACCAAGCAGAAGATATATGCTCATGAAAGAATGAAGGTTTGATTAACGTTCATACGGATGTTGGGCTATCCGCTGTCGATGTGGGGTTGAGCGTGGTGATATGAGTTCACGACGACAAGTTCTAGTTGATTGTGGTAAAGAATATCAGGAGGAGTACATGACTTGAATTGTTTGGTGAAGCGTTGACGGCTGAGTTCGCTATGCAGCTAGTATGTCAACACCAATTGGAAACTCCGATCCTGGAAATGGACTATTTAACAGTAGTTAAGGCTATCAGGGAAGCGAATGTCATACATACATAACATAACTGGGATTCGTCTGTAGAAACTATAAAGCAGATGACGGATGTGGCCACTCGTGGAACCACTCAGCATGTTTGTAAAATTGCTAATGGAGCAATGCATTCAAGGCTCATGGAAACAAGGTGAAATGTGGCAGAAGTTTGGTTTGACTGTCCGCCTATTTACTTTCGACTTAGACCGGATGATGTAACAATTTTGATTGATCAATAAAGTTAAGGTGCACGTACAATAAAAAAATTCAGCCATTAGATGATATTGTGATTGATGATTCCATATCTGAGTTTTGTAAGGCTTTGTAGAATAAGCTTGTCTACCCTATAAATTCCCATTTAAGAATTTCTCAAAAGTGGAGGCTGCAAATAATATGTATGTTTCGAGAGACAAAGTTTTCACTTTTCCATTGTAGAGGGTAAGGACAGTCGCTAAGTGTCCATCCATTCCTATTCTGTATTTGTAAATGTGAGTTTTGTATGGTAAATGATTTTGTACAAAACTCAAACTTACAAAATCTTGGGCCGGGTGTATTGCTGAATCTGACTTCTTGATTTTAAGTGAGCAAGATCTAAGAGGTGAGGATAAAATATCATTTATTTTTCTATTTTTTTAACCAACTTGTATTTTCTTTATTTTAAGGGTTAATATCACTATAACACCCGCTCGAACTAGCAAGAAAATGTCACTTTTATTTTATTTTATTTAATATAATAATCTTATCCCAAATAATTTTTCACTTAGTACTAATGGTTAGTGGTCAACTATCAACAAGTGACATTTTCTTGTTATATGGATAAAATAGGAAAGATTTCTTCATAATTTGAGTGTTGTAGTGGTATTAGCTATTGTTTTAATTTGGATTTCAAATAATATTACCACAGATAGAGCGAGTTCATTGTGATATGTAAATTATATCAATTTTCAATATATCTCAAGAGAAAAAAAAAATTGTACCACACCAGTACCACCTGGTACCACTTTGTATCACCTTCGTTTTTAGCTCAAAATTTTGAAAATATTTGCACAAAAGGAACGGGTTCATCATTACCTCTTGTGATCTACAAATTTCTGGGTGGGAAAATTTTAAGACCAAATATACAACCTTATACCACCATGGTATAGTGTGGTAACTGGTGGTAGACGGTGATGTAAGGTGGTAAGTGTCAATTAGTATATTCACACTTGTTTATGTCACACTGAGTGTAAGAGTGAGACACGTGGATTTTGGGGGTGCGAGTGAGGAATTAATTACAAGCAACTTCCGCCTTATGCCTTCTTGCGATTACAAGTGAAAAGATAGATTTCTAGAGAGAGGAAATTGAGAGTTCTAGTCTTGGAAACTAAAAACTGATCACTCACCCACTGAACTAAATGTTGTATTTATAGGCTACAATTCAATGAGTGGGTAATAAATGGCGGCGTGACCTTGTACAAGACTGGCGGCACACGCTCTCGTAGCTCATGCCTATGACATGACACCATGTCAGAGAGTGGAACGTCGTCGTGTAAGGGCTTTGATATGCGCTTGCATCGCATATCCGCCCTTTGCCTTAGCTTGTGGTGGGTGGTTCTACTGGGAGCGCGTCTAGTGTGTGCGATTAACCGTGCCATATCCCCAACAACAATCATATATACATCCATCATATGATATATACATACCATAATGGTACATTTGCATACCATCATTGTATAATCTTATGTACTATCAAGTATTACCACCATGGTATATACTGGTATATATGTCTCAATTTATTTTTATTCCAAAATATATCAAAGTGAATGTTATTTTGAAAAGGAAGATTAATCTATTTTTTCTGTGAAAAAATTGAATTACAGATATACAAAATTATAATCCTTCCTCTGATTTCAAGTATATAAGCATACTAGAATTTGTAACGATGGTCTAGACCTATAAGTTGTGGTGGATATACTGCTAGAAATCTTGAGCAATGTAAATAAATCTAGGTGTACGCTATAGACGCACCAATAAGTCGTGGTGGTGTCGAAAGGAACTTATTGATGTTTTGTGTTGATTTATATACTGTGAGGTGTCACCACTTGCCATTGGTAGCCGTTAGTTGCTTCTGCAGGTTTTTAGAGACCAACAAGAGTAACCCAGGCTAGCCAAAAAAGTAGAAATAAGAGTAAACTGATTGCTTTAAAAGCAACTCCTTATTGCATGATTGTCTCGCACTTGTTCATTCACAAATACATGGAAATTTCCAAAAAGAAACTACAAAGTTGAAGAAATTTTACAAGGCTTTCAGCTGCATCATTCGTAACAATGGCCTGGCTTTTCAGCTTTGCACACACACCATACAGACATTCAGACACCGCGTAAATAGAATTGAAACATGGCAACAAAGGCAAAAAAATGATAATGTATCCCTAATAGCAAACAATGAGTAATGAACTCAGAAGACCACCAATACTTATCTAAGCTTGAGTTGTTAAAAGGGCACGCAGCTCTTTGCTTCTCCGAGTTCCAGTCCAAGTTCATCACTGCTCTTCGTATGTTGCAGTGTATGACACATAGTATATGGAGACCCCCCACCACAGATCACTTTGGGGCGTCGCCTACAATCCCAGAAAACCACGGTTGCCCATCCTCCTCTTTCTGAGCCGCTCTGCTATAATGAAAGCTAGCTCCAGAGACTGAGAAGCATTCAGCCTAGGGTCGCAATGGGTGTGGTATCGAGAGCTCAAGTCATCAAAAGTGACCGTGCGAGATCCTCCGATGCACTCAGTCACATTTTGGCCAGTCATCTCGAGGTGAATTCCTCCAGGGTGGCTTCCTTCTTGCTCATGGACGTCAAAGAATGCACGTACTTCAGCCTGAAACAGGGATAATGGGGGAAAAGAAGATCATGAATTGGTGAACTATGTATGGGCACCATGCAACTTGAAATTAGTGGCTCCTAAAAAGGTAGCAACTTTCTGATACAGTGTTGTTAACCAAGTTAATAGAGAGATAAGAACATACCAAGATGTTATCGAAAGGGCGGGTTTTCAGCCCACATGGCGCCTTGATGGTGTTTCCATGCATTGGATCGCAGACCCATGTCACAATTATTCCAGACCTCCGCACGGCTCTGATCAAGTGGGGGAGCTTGACTCTCATGTTCTCAGCACCCATTCTGCAAATGATTGTTATCCTCCCTGGCTTATTGGCAGGGTTCAAGATCTCAATCAGTTTCACCAACTCAGCTGGGTCCATTTTCTGGCTCACCTGCATCAATAGTTGCAGTTGTAAAACTATTAGTAGCGAATTTCGATCAAAGGAACATGATATGACAGCAGCATTCATACAAATATTAAAGTTACCTTGATCCCAAGAGGATTGGAGATTCCTCTAAGGAACTCTACGTGGGCACCATCGAGTTGCCGAGTTCTCTCTCCACACCACAGCATGTGAGCTGAGCAATCATAGTAGAGACCAGATGTGGAATCCAACCTTGTGAGAGATTGCTCGTATGGCAATAGCAAGCACTCATGGGAAGTCCAGAATTCAGTAGTTGTCATGATGGGGTGTTCTACTGTCAGTCCGGCAGCAGCCATGAATCCTAATGCCTCGTCCACCCGATTAGCCAATTCTTGGTACCTATGAATCAAGAAACACAATAATAATTATGAAGAACTTGGAATCCAACTATAGTTGAAGGCCAGCTTCTAGTTAGACTTCTTTGGCATACCTATCGCCCTGCTCACTGCGCTCAGCGAAATCGAGATTCCACTGTGTAACCCTTTGCATTGCAGCATACCCACCAGTGGCAAATGCCCTAAGAAGGTTGAGTGTTGCAGCAGATTGGCAGTAGGCTCTGATCATCCTCTGTGGATCCGGAATCCTTGACTTCTCATCAAAAGTATCACCGTTGATATTGTCCCCCTTGTAGCTTGGCAGCCTCTTCCCATCTATTTCCTCATATGCATCTGACCTTGGCTTTGCAAATTGACCAGCCATTCTCCCCACCTAACACAATAATTAATCATAACAAACTAATCTCAGTCTTCTCTCAACCAATCTCCTACCCTCGCCATTAACAAGAACTCTTAACAGCTAAAATTCAGATTGATATCTCAATCCAACACCAAGAAGCCAAAGACATATAAAACCAAACCCATCACCATCATCATCATTCAGTTCTTCCTAACCTGCCCCGAATTAGGAAAACTCATAGCTAACGGCCTAATTACCAAGCAATGAACAAGAGACGGAGGGGGAGAAAACCTGAAACAGGACAAAGGGATCTGACCTTAATAACGGGCATTTGACCACCAAACATGAGAACAGCCCCCATCTGAAGCAAGATCCTGAAAGTATCCCTGATGTTATTGGCATTGAACTCCTTGAAACTCTCAGCACAATCTCCACCCTGAAGCAAGAAAGCCTTGCCAACGGCCGCATCCCCCAATTTCTCCTCCAAACTCCTGGCTTCACCGGCGAAGACCAAGGGAGGGAAATCCTCAATGGTCTTCAAAACATCCTGAAGATCACTCTCATTCGGGTACTCAGGAAGCTGCAACGCGGTCTTGGTCTTCCAGCTGTCTACGGTCCACTTAGCCGGAGGAGAGACGACGGCGGGCGCAGCAACCGGGGCGGCCGGGACAGGGGGGCCCTTGACAGGGTTTTTGGCAGGCTCGGCGGCGTGAACGGCGGAGATGGACGGGAGATTGGATCTGGAACCGCCGGCATTCCTCTTCCAGACGGACAAATTGGGTTGTTGGTGGGATTGGAGCTGGTTGTTGGAAGAAAGCGGGTGAGGAGAGGCGTAGAGGGACTTGGAAGAGAGGTTGGAAAGCGCCATTTCTGAATCGAGAAGAAAAGAGGTAGAGCTCTGTTTGGTGGTTGTGGATCGCCGGAGGGCAAGGGGGGAAGCGAGGAAGAAGACCAAGGGGGAGGGTTGGTGGGTTGTGCGGCCCTGAAGAAGAAGAAAAAACAGAGGAGGCAAAGCTGAGGTTTTTATACAGGGAGGGAGGTTTTGCTTTTCCAAAATATTTGTTTAAAAAAAAAAAAAAGGAATATTATTATAAGCAGAGAGAGTGGGGGAGTTTGGTGAGATGTTGGCAAAAGGTCAAAGAAAGGGTGGTTGGGGATTGGAAAAAGTGACTGGCCTTTCAGGGGTAGTTTGGTAAGCTCAGGTTAGGGAGCAGGGGTAGTTTGGTCAAATAGGGGAAGGTGGTGGCTTCGCCGGGAGACTGTCTGTGTCTGTTATAATTTGGGAGATTTTAGTACCCCCTTTGGTCCGAATATTCAGTGAACATATTTGATAAGGGCATGTGATGACTAGTAAAGTAGGGTGAGCTTGGTAGGTTGGTCGGATTTGATTGTTTTCTGATTTGTTGGTTTTGATTTAGGCAAGAAGCAATTTGACGTCATCGTAGTAAGCATATAGACAACATTTTTACGGCTCGATCATGATATGATAATCGACGGTGCTGTATATGTCATGATAGTCATCATAAGGTGGTTTACGATGTGGTGGTGATGCCAAATCAGTCATCTTAATTCAACGACAGCTGTCAGCTTAATTCTACCACGATAGTTGTTACGTCATCAAGTCATGGTTAACCATTTGTGTATCACATACTTGTTGCACCATTGTGGTTGTTTTGACACTAACCTAACAACCGCGACTACCCATAGCCCAAAGTCTATCATGGTGATTGACAATTCCAGTTACGACTCGATATATGTTACAAGGTCGTCGACATAATCATTCAACCAAGGGTTGCACGCCACCATGACATGGTCGACAACTCACGATAGACACATCGAACATCCTCCCCAATTTCACCATGTTGGTCAGTAAAGGTACATAGCATACTACTAACCCCACTTCTATGACGATAGTCACAAGTAGCTAGTGACACACAATATATTGACGCGACAATGTCAAAACAATAACATTGATGATGACATTAACGGTGCAAAACCCAAGATACACAATGGCGGTTCTAGTCAAGTTGGAAGATTATGGTGGCAGTCACAACCTCAAAATTTTAAGAATGATTGTCCATAAAAGTACATAGTGGCGTACGTCAGGCGTATACTATACGTCAGGTACTAGTAGTGAGATATCTCTATCTAGATCATGAATTAAATCGAGTTTGGGGTATGATACTATACCCTAACCTCTAATGGACACCGATTTTCTAAACCCCAACCCAAAGTTTGATTTAATAAAAAAAAAATTGACCGTTGAGATCGGCCGAAGCTCATCTAAGTACATCTAACGGTTAGATCACCTGTTGTATACTATACGCCTGACGTACACCAGTCATTACCCATAGTAATATACTCGCGACTCTCCAAAAATGAATATCTATACGAATATAATAAGTTAACATGAAATTGAAAACATAATAACGATCATAAATTCTACTAAAAAAATGTTTATTTAATTTTAGGCAAAAATACACTTTTATTTTATGCATGTCCACTCAAAAGACCTAAACAGCAAGAGTTTGCCCCAAACAAAGTACAAGCTTGTATGTTAGGAATCAAATTGGAAGATATACCTATAATCAATGTACATCCTATTTTCAGGAAATGATCACTTTGATCAAGTCAAACGAACCTAACTATTACTTTTATTTTATTTTCCACAATCCTAACAATCATATGTGTGGGTGTCATTAGATCATCGATAAGTAGAAGATTCAATAGCTATTTGGCGAACTCCTTATGTGCATTGTCAAAGTTGGTGAAGTTCACCTTTTCCCTCCAACAATTCATACGAGTGAAAGATTTAACATAAGCAATAAAATAAAACGCAAACCTGCCATACCTACCGGCCCACCACCACTTGTCAGTGGATATCTTTTCCCATTTGTGTTGCCTTGCCCTTACCTACCCCCGGAGCCCAACAACTTAAATCCCCTATCGGACTTTCGGTTGGACTTGGATCCGATCCGATCTAAATCGGACTTTAAAAATGTCTTTAGAAAGTCCCCTTGCTTGATCCCTGAAGAGGGAGAAAAGAGAGGAAAGAGAGGAATAGGAACGAAGAAAAGGAGATAGTAGGTGGGTCATGGAGGTTAGGTAGATTTATTTTATGAAAAATAAATTTGTAATAGTTATATGTAAGATAAATTTCATTTCAGTCATTAAATTTAAAATTACTATCTTATTTGTATCTATATTTAGAAAATGGCTCAAATTGGCCGAACCCCGATCAGATTATTAAATCTCAAACTTCTTGCTTGACCAACTCAATGACTTAAACACGTTTGACAAACCTTGCCAACAACTATTCATTTGTTTTCTATCCCCCTAAATAAATACTTTCCTATGTGACTGTGATGTACTTCCCTTCTGATTTGTATGTCAAATAATCAATCGGTCATTGGCTCCTTATGTCGTACTTTGGGTTGTTGCGTGAGGGAACGTGTGGCGCCAAACAAGGAACTACTGTTTCAGAATTATGAAATTTTGAATATCTGAACTTGGAAAAATCTTTGAATTTCAAAATTATGAAATTGGGAACAGAGATTCTTGGACTAAGTTGTCTATTTTGAGTAAATATAGGAGTAAATTGGTTGATCACTTAGATTCCAGATTTTTTTGTATAAAGAAAGACAATACTATAATCTTTTATGAAAAGAACGAGTCTAACCTTTATTACAACATCCAGAAGTCATTGAATATCTCATCATTTTTTTTTTACTTAAAACGTTTTTTTTCATTTCCCTTTTGTTTGATGCTCATGCTAGGATTAGGACTTAGGAGACCGGTCCTGATTTTCCGATCAAATTTAACTTCACACCGTTTAAATTGAGAACGTGAAATCGAATTTAATCCAATCCGATCCTATCTAGTCCACGGTCATCATATTAATCAGAAAATCGGTCGGTCCAATCCGGTTAGAAATTAAAACTTATACACATCCCAGACCAACCCATATATAACAGCCTCTCAAGCCCAACCCAGCTCATGATAATTCAGCTGAAAAAAAGCCTGACACAACCTCATCCCAGAGCCCATAAGCCTGAACCTAATCCTATTCGTCGCTTCCTCAAATAGACATATAATCCACTTTACAAATAGGTCCAACGTGTTTGTATGATGCTAAGGGTCATAGGGTAAAAAAGTGACACGGTCCTACCTGATCCTAACCCGATCAACCTGGCAATCGGGCCGGGTTGGGTAATTTCGGGTTGGGAACTTCGATTACGGGTCGGGTCATGTTTGCTTGGCTTATTTCGGGTCAAATATTGACCCAACCCATTCGGTTTCGGGTCGGGTTACGGGTCATTTCGGGTTATGAGCGTTCTCAGAAACAATATCAAACATACTTCATATTTTCTTAAAGAACACAAATTCTCACATATGCATGACAATAGTTTACCTAACACATGTCAATTAACATATTCTCAAATCCTCCCACGCTAATGAAATGAAATATAAATTGCGCAAATCGTCAAAAAACAATCACAAGAGTAATACTAATACAAGAAACACTTGATATTTGATTACCCTTAAACTCCAAACATGTCATTCAAATCCTTGTGATTTTTTTTAAACATCTCACCAATTTAAGAGTGATTTTATCATATTTTGGGAGTAATATATTAAATGGAATGGGTCTAACCGGTCGACCCGCTAACCAACCCAACCCGACCCAAAAAAATCACGGGTTATCGGGTTCGGGTCATTCGGATTTCGGGTTACAAAAAATTCTAGTTTTCGGACGATTTCGGGTCGGGTCGGGTTATAATTTGCCAGGTCTATAACCCGACCCTAAGCTGACTCGACCCTAAACTGATCCTGTAGACAAATGGACTCAGCCCGACCCTCAGGGTCAGGGCGGGGCGGGTAAGTGGTTTTAAGGGTCAAAATTACACCCCCTACGACAGGTCAAGAAATTGCGTCGTTCTCACTTTCTGCAAGATTCAAACAAGTTCACCATGATTCTCGTAGAGCAACGACCAATTCTTTCTCGATCTCTCTTCAGTCTCCATCGGCAGCTGAACTCTAAACTCACAAAATGGTGGGATTCGTTATTTGGTTTGATTGGCACTGACAAGAAGAACTGGAATAAATAGAAGGAATGAAATTTATGAAAGTAGGGGATGGGAACGTGGGTGGATAATTCGCAGTTTGACATGGAACTACACACAAATAATTCGAATTAGAGTGGTTGATTGATTGATGTGAGTGGATTGTGGATTGGTAATCTCTTACCAACACGAAAGTTGATTTTTGTTTATACTAACGAATAATATTTCCTAACCACACTACACACTGACCATCGATTTCTAAAGGCGGTGTATAAACAATATTTTTTTATTACTATTATTGGTTACTACGTTGTGTAATGTCCATTATATATTGGGATGCAAATTATAAACTATTGATTGTACAAAGTTTCAAAATGCGTCAATTTGCTCCAAAATTGGTTGATGGAGTAATGAAAATTTTGATGCAAATATTACACAGATCCATAGGATACAAAATGTGAAGTGTCTGAATTGCTACAATATTACTAACCTGTGAAGAACTTATTGTAAGTGTTAATCAACTTTCTTAATGGATAGTTGGAGAATTTTTTGTGGATTAACCCATTACCCAACCGCACCCATCCTCCACCCACCCAACTCAACCAAAGAAGGATGTGGTTGGATAGCAGGTCACATCTATACCAACTCGCTACTAAGAGGGTAGATCAATTTGAGACCAAAATTCACCAAACCAACCTATTGCCACCCCTAGATGGAAGAACGAGTAGAATCGAAAGGACCAAGAGATAACTGTAGATTTTTATCTCATTTTTAATGTGATTTTAAGTTAAACAATAAAGTTTAGAGAGAAGTGAGCATTTTCTGTTTTTAGAGTAAAACCATATTGTTTTCAATCTAATTCGATCACAACTAAGTTGAATTCGGTTAAGTGTGTAATCTGCCAAACCGAACCGTTTTTCACTCTTGGCTCTTGCCCTTCTACTTCAACCTTTCTTTCTTTTTTAGGATTGTGACTTTTTTTTACTC